GCCGTCGCTGGGGGATTAAATAAAATATCTGATACTGCGGAAGAGTTTCAGGGTCTATCGAAGAAACCACGTGGTTGTATTTTGTACTATCGCTACTAATCTTCGCTAAAGCAAAGTTACTTTCAACTTGAATAAACCAAAGTTTAACATTTTTTTTTCCATAAAGGGGAATTTTAACTGCCACGTGTGAGATTTGTGGCTCCTGAACCGCCATATTCGATTCCTCGTTGGTTTTGGCCTTCCGATCCTGGCATGGTTGCCAATTATAAATATATCGTAAATCGTAAACTTAATGTTTTGCACTATACCTTATCAAAATAGTATCAATTTAGAATAAAATAACGAAGACATTCAATATCTCAATAAAAGTGTGAGCACAAATATTACCCAAAGATCAATTTTAAACAATCAATAATTAAATTAAAACTATAATTTTAGAGCAAAACATATCACAAAAACATAATTAAGACCAATCACAGATAATTAAAAAAATTTGACCACATACCTGTAAATCCTCCTTAAGTGTGATAAACCACGTGTAATCCGTACGATAAAATGAGGAGGCAATAAATAGGGTTGAGCCTTTATCAGTCATAAGGAAGAGCATTGGCATCAAAATAAGGCATATTTTTAGTTTTTTAACAAAGATTGAGACAGATAGTCATTAGGGATCGAAACAGAAGGAGCGAGGGACAGGGTCACCAATGATGTACGTGTGAGTAACACGTGCATACGAAAATATCCCTAACATTAACTAGGAAAGCCGAAATCTTAGTTAAGATAGACATGTTACAATTAATAATCAAATTTAATAAGGAAAAGTAACAGTTGCCGGGTACATTATAACGGCTTAAGAAATTCAGAGCACAGTACAGATGCGAGTACACAAGTTTTTACATATCTCGGCGAAACAGAGACGCGCACATTTGTTGAAGTAGTTTTCCCCTTGACTGCCGGGGAAAAATCTTCTCTCTCCGTCAGCCTGTAGGTTTGCCAAACGGGTTTACTGTTTCGCCAATTGGCGCTTTTCTGTACAGCTTTTAAGTCCATATCGCCTGTTTGGCGCTGCCGCTGCAATCTGGACCTCAAAGCTACAAACTTTCTGCGCATGCGTCGCGTAAGACCTGCGGCTGCGAATTTGCGTGTGCGCGTGCGCAAAATACATTTACGAATGCGCGTTTAATGTATAACGGACGGAATAAGCTAAGCTAAAATTATCTAATTATCTATTTCAGTTAATGTTGCAGATTGCGTTGTTCCTTAATCTTTGAATTGGATCCGGCTTATTATTTTTTGCAGACTGTTAGACCAATTTTATAAAAGTAAGCTTGAACTTTCGATTATGTCAAATAGAATTTCCGATTTATATTTATTAATATGTAACGGATCTACAAAGCGAAAGAATGTTTCAGAGTCCATTAAACAAAAAGTGGAATTGCTGCAAAAAATGAATAAAGGCATATCCTTTGTTTATCTAAACTTTAACGTTTGTTTATCTTTAACACCGCGGGGGGCGCGTGCAATGAATTGGAAGTTGATCTGTCAGCAGGGCAGATGTTTTTATTTTATTTGGCTTATAATTGCTTACTAAATGTAGTATTTCATTTCGATGTACTCTGTCTTTGATATGATTTAAATCAAATGCCTCGTCATTATAATTCGCTTCCAATAGCGAAGAAAGCGACAGAGGTTATTGAAAACGAAAAAATTTCGATTGACAAATTAGTCGATATTCTCGACACAGCAGTTATAGGACTTGAACAGCGGAACTTTGTAACTGAACTGATTATGTCTGTTTATAGAATTAAAGAGAATGTATTATTACATAAAAAACAAAGCAACTTAAACAACTTACATTGAAAGAAATGTTTAGTAAAGTAAACAAATAAATATTAAGCTTTTTTTTTGTGAATTTTGATACACTTTAGATCATAATTGTTCTTTATTTCATAAATTATGGTTTCATATTTTTAATTTTATAATTTCTGCATGCCATTTTACCAGATTTAAACTGATGATCTATAATCCGGAATCGCCGAAGTCCCGACAAGTCCGGATTAACGACTTTTGACTGTACTACGTTGTCAAATAAACTAAACAGTAAAAAGTTTCATTCAGAAATCTCTGTGCAAGTTTGGTAACTGTGGGATATGCTCTGTTTGATGAATAAATTTATATAGCAGTTTATGGTTTCATGTACCGGTATGTAAAATGATAAAAAAAAAAAAAAAAAAAAAAAAAAAAAAAAAAAATTATAGATACTAGAAAGTTAGGGTGATATGGCTGAAGACTGCTTAGTAACATTTAATTTGAATATTATAAATTTTCTGCATATGTAGGAAGGAAGCTAAGGATTTAAAATGTGACAAGTTTTCAACTATGCACTATAATAAAAATGAGTTTTCAGTATTGACTGGGAGGAATGGAAATCATTATCTATCTATTCTGCTGTCTGTTACAACAGCAGTTGCAAGGCTGATGGACAATTGAAATCACGCCATACTGATGTCACAAAAGAGATCGGAATTAATTGTACAGCTTCTACTGAATGTGTGAACTGTGCAATAATTTTGCATTTTTAAGCTAAAAAGTATTGTTTTTATTAAAAGAAATTGTAAGATTTTGATTCTTTCACCAAAATATTTGTATTTTTTTTTCTGATAGCTTTTATTTTTACAACTAATAAAGTCTTTACAAACAATTAGTCTTTTAAGTTTGGCACCCCGGTGATTACTCGTACTTCTTATATGGGCAGTGAACATGTTAAAGTAGTTATGAGCAAACTTCTTTGGGAATAGGCCAAAAAAAGAATGAAAAAATAACAGGTCAATATAATTTATTCTAAAACTGAAAAAGAGATTGTACAAATATTAATGTGATGAATGAAACTGCAATTGCATTTTTAAATTCAGGTTTGAACTGTGATGTGATGTTAACTGCTCACTTGTCAGTGTAATTTTTCCATCTAATGGAATTGTTTACGTGTATAGCAACATAGCACTAATTTTCTGTAAATGAGGTATTAAATTTGTAACGATTTGTAACGAAATTTGTAATCTATAATAATTTGTAAAACTCTGATTTTGGAACACTGAGAAACAACTGCTTGAAATGATTGTTAGAGTGTATCTGGCCTCATTGCTTCACAATTTAAGTTGAAAGGCATGTTGAAAATATCCAGTTCTTTGAATGGCATTCATATCGTCAAATCTGCATTCAGACTCAAAATGCAAAATTTTTTAGATAAGTTTACAGTCTCAAATCCTTTTCCTTTCATACAACATCATAAACATGGACACATCACAAACATGCACTGTTTAATGACTTTATTATTTTTAGCAGTATTTTATACTAGAATGTGACCTGCATATATAGCTTCTTCCTGGATACTGTTTACTTTCTTAAAATAAATTTTCTTCTTTCAACCTTTTTTTTTTGAACGAAAAGTATATTATATAAAGTAATTAAAATTAGGACTTTATATAATAAAATCTAGCACTTAATCAGCTTAGATTGTTTGAAGTTTAATTTTTATAAATATAATTTTTCACACTAAAAAGATTATACTTGTTTTAATGTAGAAAACAATTAAATATAATACATATTTTTTTTTAAATTTGTGTTAAGCCCTAGTTTGCCCCTCGTGGTTTAAAGTGTTAAGAACCATATCATTAAACTATCAGCATCTACTTACATAATATGTAAAGTGAGAAAAATTGGTAATACTTAATTTAGTAACATGAAGTTGATCCATGATGTGTTAGGGCTTTGCATTTTCAATTTTCAGTAATGTTAAACTGTTTAACCTTTCGAGGCTGGGGCTTTGGTAGCAGTAAAAGCTACCAAAGGACGGGGAATCTTGAACCGAATGCTTTCCCCCCTTTAAGAAATCACCTCCTATTTGCAACAAAGATTCTGTGTAGTTTAATGGATTTTCAGAGGGGTGCATCTATGTCGCAAAAGGAAGACCTTTGAAAGAGAGAAGTGGTTAAAACCCCAGGGATGTCAAATTTGACATTTCACCCCACTTTTCAGCCTGGAAAATGGGGGAAAAAGACATGGCCACTAAAGTGGACAACCCCGTCTTTTCAAAGAGAGGACTCTATGGCCACTATAATGGCCATCCCGTCTTCAAAAGGTTAAATTAGTTATACTTTCAATTTTCAGTAATGTTTAACTGTTTTAAAATCGGTTATAATATGTGAATTTTATATTCATCTATGTCATATTGGAAAAATTTTCTTTCTCGCAAAATAAAATGCTGCTGCAATTTTATGAAGTACCTAAAATTTGCATATTGCATATGTATATTTTATGACCAAAAATATATGAACAGACCAAAGGTCTGCTTGGAATTAATTTACAGAAATTTTCTAAAATTTTTTTTGTGTAGCTTTTATAAACTTTCTTGAAGGCCGTCCACTATGTCTGTCCATGGACTGAGGTTGATTTATTGTTCAGTGCTTACTGTGTTCCTTGCAAAAGCTTTGCTTGTGATAACATCTATGGGGCAAAATCAGAAAAGCAGTACGAAAGATTGGATTGACCTTGATGTATGGAACCTGGGTCTGTTTCATGCAGTTGGAATTCTCTGCCACTAGCGCAAAAGAGCTCGTGTGTGCTAAATTCAAGAATTCCAGTTCTTTCAAATTTGCGAGATTTGAGTGGCTGCACAGATATCACACAAGCAGTTTGAAGCATTAATATATAACAAATTTAAAATTGTAAAAATGTTTAAACAATTAAAAAAAGCATCATCTTTACATTACTTTTACTAATTTTTGCATAAATATAAATTCCCCAATAAAAAAATGAAGTTGGGGAGAATTTAGAGTAGAGTATAAGCTGCAATTTATATCACTGATAATTATTTTTTCATTATTATTGATACAGGTTCAGTTTTAAGCCCTTTTTCCCTTACAAATAAATATATAAACAAATGATTAAAAATATTTTACAGTTATTTAAACAATTTACTCATTGTTTGATTTTGTATATAGGCTCATGGAGGTGAAACATTCTTTTACCGATTGTATAGAACATACTATGGCGCTAAAACTTCCTTGATGGTAAGTTAGATTTTATTGTATAGATAAAATAGTAATTTTAGTGGAAAGGTTCATTATCTGTGTAATAAGAACTGATTTCTTATTTGAAGATGAATATGTGAACAAGTTTCTGATTATGATTGATGTATTAGAAACAATTACACAAATTAAAATGCCAATATTGTAAAAACCAATATTATAATAATGAAGATGAAATTTTAGAATGAGGCATTAGCTGTATTCATTAATTTATTTGCTTTTTGAACAGAAATAAAGATTTGCATGCATTATTGAAGGATTTATTTTAGATTTTTTTCTTTTTTATTGAAGGGTATGTGGAAAGGGAATCCAGTTCTAACTACTGTACTTCTTGGGCTTCCTTTAGGCCTCTTTAGTATTATCTGTTACACAACCTGTTGCACTGACCTTTTAGACGCAGGTGATGAAGATGATGAAACAGAGACAGGTAAGTCCTTTTGAATACATCTGTTACAATCTGTATGCTAAATATATTTATGAGTGAACAAAAAATTAAAAGAAATTACCACTTCTGTTATGCAAGCCTTGTGATCATTTACTGAAGTTTTGAGTAAGGTGCTCACAAAGTCTGTACAGTAGTCTCACAGTTTGATGTGTAATCTGATCTACACATCAAACATCTGTTGCAGTTGTGTGAGAATAGTGTTTTGATTGGGCAGAACTGATTTCTCCAGATAAATGAATGTACTCTGTATCATATCGTAGTTCAGTTTAAGGTATAGATGAACACTACATATTCATATATGTTTTGTTTACTATGAAGTTCTATAAAGGTCTATTTCAGTACATTATTTGCTGCATAGTTGTAGCATGTAATTGGGAATTTTTCCAGCAAACAAAAGCTATGAATAACAAAGGCAATTAATTTTGTATCAGTTCTGTTACCATTAGAAGACTGTGGATTTGCTGATATGTCTAAATATGTTTATTATATAATCTAATTACAGTCTCTACTGAACACCATTCAAGTCTAAGATAATTTTTTATTTCTGTACTTTCATTATAAAACTGTAGGTGAAATCTGAAGTTAAAGAAGTTTTGAAAAGTTAATTTTAGTATATATTTTTTCAGAATTGAAATGTAAATTTTAAAATTAATCTACAGAATATTTACACATTTTTAGTAGAAAATAAACAACAATAAACAATATTCTGAATATAAATTGCTGTTATCAGTGACATTAAATGAAGGTTAGTTTGATTTTTTATTAGAATAATAGTCAAATCTCTGTAAATGCACATTCCACTTTCAGTCATTTTTAGTTAACGGACAATTTCTGAATCCCCAGGTCTTACAAGCAGAAGCTGTACACTCCCTTATAAGAAACAAAAGCATAGGTTCCATGAGTATATGCTAACAGGAGGTTCAACTGCATGTATTTATAAAACATATAGTGTAGAAAAATATGGCTCCATCTATAAAATTATAGTTGATGTATTGGAAAGATTTTTGTGAAGTTTAATGGAGGTGCTCTTTTCCTTTCAAATTAAAAGTTGTGATGTGAAGAAAATTTATATTGTTATAATACTGTCACAAATTCAATATGCCTGATGTCTAATATTTTATATTGTGGAATATTTTTACAATAAATGTCTGTGACAGTTGTGAATAATTTGTGAACTATAGTCAAGTTATAACAAAATAAATTTTTTTTTTCAAATTTTTCAGTACATTATTTTTTATGTTTTCATTCAAAAGTACTTTGTGAATAAATTTTCTGGTCAAAATAAAATAGCATTTGTGGGACTCTGATTTGAACTGGCAGCATCTTGTTCATAACACTGTATAATACCTACCATACAGCACTGATGATACATAATATTGGTGCCTTTATTAAAGGGAAAAATTTAAATAACTTGAATGTTATTCAGAACTTAAGTGTTATTTTTATTTTATTTGTCGAAGTGTATGCTTTTACTTTACATGTATACTTTCATTAGGTTTTGTATAATAGGCAAAATATAAATGAAATCATTGAATCCAAGTTATTGCCGAGATAAATTTATTCGGAAATACTTCGCAATTTTTTTTACATCATTTCTAATTGGAATTTTGGCTCTATGAGATACCATTTAAAATTTAGATTTTACATTCCGAGAACTCTGCCGTCCAGATTGCTGAAGCTATTTTTGTGTTAAATCTTTGTCATATTTTGAAGAACTTAGTAAGTGGGAGGCACATGTCTAGGATTAATATCCAAGGGGAAAAAAAGGCCTATACCACCGTTTTTAAACATGTTTAAATAAACCGACCAATAAAATTTATATAAAATTAACATTCATTCTAAAATTTAATAATCATTATTGTAAACATGTAATTTAGAGATACAATTTTTGTTTTCAGTGGATGAAAGACATCAGAAGAGAGAATAACACTTATCTGCTGTGATATTGACAAGTATTTTTTATCGCTTGTATTATTTTGTAGAAATATGCATATTTATTTCTGTACAAATGTATATTTGTTTTTTATTCATATGCATAAGTAATCTGATTTTTTAACTGCAGTATTGAATTCGATTTATGAAAAAAAAATATCTGAAGACATATCTGCAATATATATAATGCATTTTTCTTTTGACATCATCATATGACTTGAATTAAAACCATTCTGTTGGAAATATGCTAAAAGAAAATAGTTGTATAATACAGAAATGTTTTGTACATGGCAACTTAGCAAATATAAAAAGCTTATTCATTCTGAAAAATACTCAATGTAGAAAATTTTTTCAAGTTGAATAAATATTTTATAAGTGCTCATACATAAAGTCATGGTTAAATTATTTCAATTGATATCTTTAACTTTTTGTGAATTCTTGGCGTTTTAAGTGTAATATTTGCACAGAATTTCATACAAGAGCGTGTTGTAAAATAATAAAACTTAAATCGTCAAAGTGGTTTCGTCAGTATAATTCTTTTTAGAATATTTTACATGCAAGGAAGAAAAATAATAAAAAGCCACAATCTATAAAATGAATATTATTATAGCACCTTTAATATGTATCTGTTTTAAGATGCACAAGTAGAGAAGTTTTCTTTTAAGCTGTATTTAATTAAACTTCTGCATGAATGAAAATTAAATAATTATGGCAAACATTACTAATTTTATCCTAAATGTATACTTATTTCTAACATATTATTGATAATTTCATTCGTATAATGGATTCCCCCCCCACATACCACATTTTCTAATATTAAAACTATTTTGAAAACATAAATCATTTTAAATTTAAGTATTACTGAATGGTACTTCTGTATTCTCCTGCTGACCATTGCCAGAAATTTTGGCAATGATTGCAGTCTTTACTGCGGAATTCTAATTCTGTTGTCATCTATATTAATAATAAATTGTGCTACTTGGCCAGTCGATGGGATAATGCATAAATACGTATTTCATAATTCAGCTTAAAAAAATTAAGATCAATTTTTGAAAGAAGTAAACCCAAGATTGTTATTGTTAGCAAATATGGTATTTTTATTTCTTGTATTACTGTTTTAAAAAGTGTGTAATAGGCCCACCAGCGGCCGAGCGGTAAAGTCGCTGAACACTGGTAGTTCGGTCCGAGGTTCGAATCCCGCGAACGGGCTGGCTGCATGGGCGTTTTCGTGGTTTTCCCCATGTGTAACGTGTATACGAGCCAGTTTCCCTTAGAAAGTCCTCCACGAAAGGCATCCCTCCCCTTAGGCAGATAGCCCTCGTGTGCTTTGCCATAATTAAATACACACACATTAAAAAGTGTGTACGCAGAGACATTTTCTGACAATCTTGGAAGTTACACGATATTATTTCTTAACCATGCAACATTTATTAAGAAAATGATAGAAAAATGCTAATAAAATAGCTAATGAACTCAAAATAAAGTGCGAAAACTCATGGATGATGAACATCCCTAAAGATGTGCGAGGTACTGACTTGAGAAGTTTCTAGCTCTAAACTTTCATTACCAATTAACATGAGACAGTATTGTTACGAATTTGGTATTTAATTAGTTAATGTTAGTAGATTTATAAATAAAATTGTTTTACCCGTGCAGTGCAGTGCATGACGTATATTAAAAGAAGGCTAAGTTGGAAAATTAAAAATACAAGAGCGCGTGCATTTAACATTTAATAAATAAATCTCTCTTTTTGATTTTGAGAAAATACCAGAAAGTTCTCGCACATTTAAAAAGCTTATATAAGCGGCATGAAAACCTCTCAATTCATTGTTATTTAGTCGATTGTTGTTTTAGGAGTTTGTTTAGAAAACTGCTCTTGTTGACTGTAGCGAATTTGCGGATTACTTTCTCTAGCTGTTTTGAATTAAGTTCTGTTGAACGTTCGAGTATTTGACAGATAACTACTGTGAGATATTGTAATGCAGCACGAATATCTGAGGAAATTTAAGAGTTTTGTTTTATTTATTTGTGATAATAATAAATCTTATTCATTTTTTTCATCGGACTTGTGCATTCAATTCATAACGAACCTGTACACATGCAACAATTTTTGGTGTCAGGAGTGGGGTTTGAATGCCGATAACAAGAGCGATGGAAGAACGGTTAAGACAATTGATAGTAGCATTTGCCTTGTTTAAAGTAGAGATGAATCTAGCCAGGAAACGATGGAAGCTGGCCAAGCATTATTTAAAGAAGACATGAAAGATTCTGTTAAAGCAGAGATGACATGCGTTAAAGAAGAGATTAATGCGAGACAGGAAGCCGTTCAAGAAAAGATGGAAGCTGTTAAAGCAGAAATGAAAGTGGGCTAAGAGAAAATTAATAGAGAAATCACATGCCATAATAGAAAACAAATTTGAAGCTGTAGAAGACAAAATTGACAAGGTTTAAAACAGAGTTGGAGAAATTAAAGAAAAGGTTTCTGCTGTCCAACAACAAATTGATGACAGGGTTTCTGCTGCTGTCGCCAAAGAAGTTGACAGCCTAAAGAAGTGCATAGTGACGGCAGGAAACAATTCTGAAGGTTTTTAATTTCTATCTATGCCTGCTCATCCCTCTCTGAAGCTATCTACATATGATGGGAAGACCTCCTGGCAAGTATATATGACACAGTTTTCTATAGTTGCAGAAGCAAATGGCCTGTCATCTTGCTGCTTCTTTGAGAGCAGACGTGGCGGATATCCTTCAGACTCTTCCTGAAAGCAAAAGGCTAGATTTCGAAGCTCTGTCCGGCACGTTGGAGCTCCACTTTGGGAAGAAGTGTTTAAAAGACTACAGCAGGCTTTAATTAAAATCTCGACAACAGAGGCCCACTGAAATACTTCAGGAGCTCGCCACGGGTATTGAAAGGCTGTCCCATCTCGCCTTTTCGAAGTGCCCGACAGAAACAAGAGAAATCCTGTCCCTGCAATACTTCATCGACAGCATCCGGGATTCTGAAATACAGAAAGCTCTGCGAATGGCAGATGTTAAAAGATGTAAAAAGCGTTCTCTTGTACGCTGTGAAATTGGAGGCAGTTCAGCAAGCAACTCGTAGAGAGAGCTGTGCGAGTACACTAGCCAGTCAGAGCTGTGCGAGTACACTAGCCAGTGAATCAATTGATGGCTCGTTTAGATGATTTATCCAGACAAGTCAATGCTTTACGCTGTAGGAATGAGAACAAAGTGGCTCTAAGGTGTTGGAAATGTGGTGCTGAAGGGCACATGCGACGGCATTGCAGAATACCCCAGGGCACGTATAATAAAACAGATGATTTAACAAGACCCGTGAATGCCTTGAGATGGAATATTGGTGAGAAGAAACTCTAAAGTGCTGGGACTATGGGGTTAAAGGCCACATATGAAGGAACTGCAGAACACCCCACAGCACGGAAAATAAGAGAGGCGGGTTAAATAGACAATTAAATGCCATGGGACAGAAAAGGATTGACAAGAAACCAAAGTGCTGGTACTGTGGAACTGAAGGCCACGTAGCCAAGAATTGCAGAACACCCCAGAGTACGGAAATTGAGACCATTTCTCAGCAACGACGCAGGAAACAAATTAATGATCATATCAAGGAACGGAGGTTGCCAGATAATGAGAAACCTTGTTTTAAAGCACTCAATATTTCTAGAGTGAGTGGCAACAATAACGGACTGCCCATCAATGGGCATATCGATGAAATTATTTGCAATATGATCATTGACACAGGAGCTAACGTCACCATCATTCAGAAAGATTTAGCTCAACAGTTTTAAGATAAACTCATTTGGACGCCATCCTGTGTTACCCTCCAAAATGCTTCTGGCTAAAAAAATCTCCATAGCTGGGAAGTTAAACGTGAACATCACGTTTGGAAGTGCCGCCTACCATCGCACGTCATATGTGGCGGATATTACAGATCCATGCATACTCGGCCTAGACTTTTTAAGGAAATACAATATTTCCTTAGATTTCAAAAACAACAAACTGCTTTCAGCATCTGAGGACATGACTATCCAACCTCAGAAGGGATCCTCACCAGAAAATGCCGACGCCTTGTCTGAAAGATCCAGTTCAGAAAGCTGTCAAAATCATACTAGGATCGGAGAGAAACACCAGACTACCGGCTATTCTCCATCCCAGATGCTCTTCGGTCCAGACCTTTGTCTGCCTTGTGACCGCCTATTTGTTCGCCCTACGGATGCACCTTCATCGTCTGAAGAATACATCCAAGATGTCCAGGCCCGGTTTGAAGTGATGCACCATTCCGCATGAGAGCGAGTCAACTTGGCGACGGAGAAGGTGAAGACCAGATACGACACGAGAGCTATTGGACATCAATTCTAGGAAGGAGACAAGGTGTGGTTGTGGAACCCGATTCGACGAAAAAGACTCTGGCCTAAATTACAGTCACCTTGGGATGGTCCGTACACAGTCCTAAACAGGCTGAATGACATCGTAGTTCGGATCCGTAAGTCATCGAATTCTAAACCTAAAGTCGTTCATTACGACAGGTTAGCTCATTACTATGGCCATAGTACGTAGTGTAAATAGTATTAGACCATGGTTCTGTTTGGTTTCTAAATGTATATTTGATTTGTATTTAGCATTTCATTTGTTTAAGTTAGTTATTGCATTTATCGTTCATGTTGTTTGATATTGTAAAGTAATGTTTATGCCTCAGTTGTAAATTTGGCTTCCTGTCCAGGGATTGTACTGCCCCTGATGTGCAGTCCTTGGGAAGGGGGCAGTGTTACGGATTTGGTATTTAATTAGTTAATGTTAGTAAAATTATTTTATTCCCCATGCAGTGCAGCACGTGATGTATATGAAAAGAATGCTAAGCCAGAAAATTAAAAATAACAAGAGCGCGTGCATTTAACATTTAATAAATAAATATCTCTTTTTGATTTTGAGAAAATACCAGAAAGTTCTCGCACATTTAAAAAGCTTATATAAGCGGCATGAAAACCTCTCAATTCATTGTTATTTAGTCGATTGTTGTTTTAGGAGTTTGTTTAGAAAACTGCTGTTGTTGACTAGCAAATTTGCGGATTAGCTTTCTCTAGCTGTTTTGAATTAAGTTCTGTTAAACGTTCGAGTATTTGAAAGATAACTACTGTGAGATATTATAATACAGCATGAATATCTGAGGAAATTTAAGAGTTTTGTTTTATTCATTTGTGATAATAATAAATCTTATTCATTTTTTTCATCGGACTTGTGCATTCAATTCATAACAAACCCGTAAGCATGCAACAATATTAATGCCCTAAATTAAAAAAAAAAAATTATAATAATAATAATTGCTTTAAAATTTCAGTCCACTTCAGTTGAAGTGCAGGAATTAATTAATTAAATATTTCAATTTTCTTTACCTTATACACATATCCTATAAAGAGAAAAAAGCTTATCTGTATAACTTCTATAAAAAGAAATAATATTTTATGGATTATGCATAAAGTATAACTGCACATAGAGCATTTTAAAACAAACGAGATTTCTAATAAATTATCGATCTATGACACTGAAGAAATTGATGCTAAAATTTTATATATTATCTGTTTTCTCCCCAAATTTGGGCATATTTTAAAAATATACAATCTCACATGGCAGTCAATAGTATACAAGCATAGCAAATTTTGTGTAAATATTGTGAATTCTTTACAGTTGCAGTGTATTTTTAAATGTGTGAACTTTTTTTATTTTTTGCAGTAACAGTACATTTTAGTTTTAATTATATATTATTTCATGAATATTTAAGGCGTCTAGAAACACTAACAAATTTTTGAAAATTACTTCAGCTTCTGTGCAATTAGAGATGTTCATAATATGTATTATCTAAAAATTGCTAACATGCTTTACCTTCACAGTTCGTAAGCAGAAATAAAAATTCCCAATAACATCGAAGAGTCTGAATCCCACAAGTTAAATACAGAGACATCTGGTGGCAGTGAATGCAACTGACCACAGAATTTCTGTAAGCACAAATCTAATGCAGTAACGTAAACAGTCGTCCGTCTGCGTATGCGTTTCTCCCGACACTACGAGTTCGCAATGCCCTAATGGAAATGAGGCTTATCTAGTAGAGTACATAATTCCTTCCCACTGCAAATAAAGTTTTATACTTTCGAGGGCATTTTTCAGTTTACACGTCTTAGTACTATCATCTATCTTTAACGATAATACTGAAATTGACAATAGATTATTTAGAACTAATAGATGTTATCATGGTTTATAGGCCCACCAGCGGCCGAGCGGTAAAGTCGCTGAACACTGGTAGTTCGGTCCAAGGTTCGAATCCCGCGAACGGGCTGGCTGCATGGGTGTTTTCGTGGTTTTCCCCATGTGTAACGTGTATACGAGCCACTTTCCCTTAGAAAGTCCTCCCTCCCCTTAGGCAGATACCCCTAGTGTGCTTTGCCATAATTCAATACACCACACCATCATGGTTTAAAGAAATTTTTAGTATCTAAATTATTAAGCTTCAAGACAAAAATAAATCCTTATAAAACTCTTATTAGACCTATCATATTTTATGGTAGGGGATGTTGGCCATTGACAAAAACATATGAAGAAAGACTTTTTTGAAAGAAATTGAAAGAAAAAGACTAATTTTTGAAAGAAAAATACTGTGAAAAATGTATGGCCCAATTAGAGAAAATAATAGATGGAGAATTTTGTTTAACTATGAAATATATAGAAGATACAAACAATCTAATATTGTCGGAGTCATCAAATCTTATTATATCAGATGGCTTGGACATATTTTTAGATGTGACCTTTGAAAATGTAAAGGGTACCAAGAAAAGAGGAAAACCTCGCACAAGATGGATAGACTGTGTCGAGGCAGATCTCACGGCTCTAAAAAACAATCGTTAGAGGACCATAGCAACTAATTGGATCCGTTGGAGGAAGCTTGTTGAGACAGCCTTGGCCTGTGATAGGCTGTAGTGCAACTGAAGAACTCCACAAAATAAAACATGCAAAGAATCACACTACATTATGTGAATATTTATCTTGCAAATTACGATTCTTAACTATTGAACACATATACATGTATATATACACAATTAAATTTCTAAATATAAAAGTTTTCATCTCAATCTAGAATTCACATACAGTGGTGGCCACATAGTGAGAAATGCAACATTCAGGTGTTCTACATCTTTTTTGCATATCCCCTATTTCTTTTTTAACTGCATAGCATTGTCTATTATCATATCAGCCAGTCTGTTTAGCTGTTCCTAGACTTCTTTCCACCACTAATTAAAATTTTTACTTTGTAATTGATCTTACTTTTTAGGAACATATTTAATAGTTGTGTGTAAGCATAGACAATTTGTTTTCCTTATCTAGGCTTCTTCACTGGTAATATAATACCAAGAAAAATATTTATTTGTATGGCATTTAGCTTGTTAATGTATAGATAATTTTTTTGCATTGTTCACTCCGGCACCACTGTGTATATATGCATTTCTGGAATACTTTAACTAAATTTATAATAAACTAAAAAACAAATATTTTTTATTCTCATAAATAAAAAGATAAGAAATCAAAATGTTTCTTCATTAATTTATTTTTCCTACACACTTTTCTTAAAATTTTTAATTTGTAGTCTTCACTTTGGAGAAGACGATTATAAGCAATACTTAACAGAGTTTAATACCAAGTATTTCAACTAGTTAAAAGCATGTACATAGAACAATGGTTCTCAACCTTTCTTTTCCCCATACACCCCTTTCAACACTGATAGATTATGCCTCTTACCATCCTTTAGAGAGGTCGAAAAAGACATAAACACAATTATTTTGATTGACAGATTTTTTAACATGTTTTATAAATCAAACGATAAGGGAAATGTTGGTCATTTTTTTTAAGTACATAGTTACTGCTTCAAATTTTTTAAGATGTCAGCAAAATTTTGACAGTTAAAATCCTTTTACTTTCATATGAACGAAACAAATTGAAATCTGCTTCTTAAGCAGTCAATAAATATGTTCAAGAAATGAAACCACATTATGCTGACTATCTTCATGAAAGCATAAAACTGTCACAGACATTATATCATCATGTTTTGTAGATTGCAGTTACAAGCTAAAAAAAATGTGTGACCAGTGATTGCCAGAGATCTGCCGAGCATTAAAAGCATTGTGATGTTAGATTTGTTCCATGAAATGGAAATAAAAGAAAATGTATGACTCACTGTTTACTTTTCCTCACATACTGTTAAATCTTCCTTTTTTTTTTTAAATCAACTTGTATTTTTCTTAGAAGGTTGCTTTTGACTGCCAATAAAATATTCTGAAGAATAAGATTTTTAACTATTAGAAATACATTTTTTGTTCTTATTCTAAATAAAGACAAATAATTTTCAGATACAGCAAAACTTCAGAAACATTTTTATTAACAAAGTCATTGACAAAACACTTTTAAAGAATAAACATGTTAATACAAAAACAACTTTATAGTAGCTCTAAACCACAATCTAGCAACAAATTAACTATAAACTATGGATCAAAATTACAAACAAAAACGTTCAGCTCTGGAATTCAGAAAATAACCTTTGGTACTCTAAACGCATTTCTTAGCTGGACAGAGCAAATCATGATCAATTCAAAAGGCCTCTGTAAATTATACTGCAAAAGATACATTGCATTGCTGCCATCCTCATATTATAAAAGCAAAAGAAAGCAGCAAAACAAAAATTTTAATATCTTCCAAATACATACATAATTTCCACTTTCATATATTGTAATTATATTAATGTAATTAATGCTATATAGACTAATTAATGACTAGAAAATAATTCTCTGGTGTATTTAGATATATGTCGAGCGCCTGACAGAATAATTTGCTATTGAAAGACATCATAAAATACGACACATCTTACAGAATGAAAAGTATTTTTAAGAACATAATTAAATAATGGTACCAACCACTATTTCCACAGTAAACCAGAAGTATCTGAAATCACTGCTAGTAGCCTTTACCAGATTTTATTAATTTGTTCCCCCCTCCTTTCTGCTATAATTTCTGTTATGCCATCATATACTATGCTCTATATGATAGTATGTATCATTAACTAGCTCGGAATTTCCACTTGCATTTGCTTCTCTATCACATACTTATATATGCATATCCAGAGACAGTAATAATGAATAATCATTATACATGAAATTTATGATAAATGAATGCTTAACATAAAAGTGATACACATGTAATGTTAAGTAACTTGCCGAAGCTTACAAGCTTATTACTGAGGTAAAGAGAATCACAAAATTAATAAAATATATTTTATCCAAACGTTCTCTGAAAGACAAAACAGTATACTTAAAAACTTACGTAAATAAAAGAAACTTCCTCCTCCCCCCCAAAAGAATGATTTCTAACTTATTTTTCCATGTTCACATTCCTTCAATTTTTTCTTATACTGATTTCATAAATCACATCAGTCGTATAGAAGCTATTTTTTTTAACCGAAAACTTTCTAGTTAGCAGCATTTTCTTTTTATTTACATAAAAATATTTAAACATTTATCTGCTACATAATTTTTTTTACTGCAAAAATAAGGATATTTCTTAAGCATTTTTAACTTTTGAAACAAATCAATAATTTTTTTTTTGGGGGGGGGGCAGGCTAGCTAAGATTGAAATTTAGCTCATCGTATAATCACTAACTCGTTCATTTCTATTTAAGGACTACAATAAATCTTTTTTTCAAAAGGCAGTATTAGAGGCTCTTTAATTTGCGCTCAAGGTAATTTTTCCCCTAAGGTATTTTACAGTACTAAATAAGTTACTTTCTGAATTTCTTTTTGGTACATTTTACCAACTCATCACATTGTTACAAAGGAAGATAACACAAGAAGGAATTGAGAATAATTGGATAACAAAAGCAAATATTACTTGAAAATAATTCATACATAAAAAATCCAAAATGTTTACAATACATTATACTTAAGACAGCAGATTATTAATTAATGTTGTTTATACAGCATGTTTTAAACTGGTTCACTAATAAAAGACAATAAATGGAAATTGCATTTTGTTCGCAACAGATAACTTGTAAGTTATTTTATGACAAAAATGCATTCAGGCAAACCCTATACCTCTATATGCAATTAACTTTACAAACCTTCATATGAATGTTATTAGTCTCAGGACACTCTTTCATGGCCTACAAACAAGTTTATCTCTCTGGTATTCCTTGACATTTTTTCCAGCATTTCAAGGACAGCTGAGTACTGCAAATGTTTCTCTTTGGGAAGTTGCATCTGGTACACCCCCCAAAAAAGTAATTTGAGTTGTTAAGCAACATCTTTAACAATTTATGAGATGCATTATACAATGCTATCAATTGCATTTCATTAATGATATATTTAAATTAGTTTTTGGTTTGAACAATTTTAGTAAAATTATTTATAACTTTAATTCTAGCTGCTGTTCTTCTCTTTAAAAAGAATGCCATTGAGTTTGTTTAATAATGCACGAAAGCCTGATTTTGCTATGTTTGCTAAAAATGTGCTGTGTATCTTTTTACTTCGCCACTTTTTTAAAAACTAAATAGTTTAAAAATAAAAATAGTCCCCATTTAATAAATACATACAATGTGAAGTCCGAATTACATTATAAGCAAGAAATAGTATCGGTATAGTTCTGAGAACTTAATTTATACTATTTGTGGATATACCTTTGTTATATAAAATTACCTTCCAATTAAAAAATCGTCATCTTTAAAATGACGATTTTTGATGAATAAAAAAAATATGAATTCTTTTTCTTTAACATGATGTGATTTTTTCTCATAAGCTTAGCAGCAGTCAAGTCAAAACAGATGTATATCAGTTCGTTTTACTCTGTCACTTAAGCAGTATATCAGTTTTTCAGACAATAACAAAAAAGAAGGCAAATTTAAACCACTTTTTGGGGGTAGTCAAATATTTTCTGTTCAACTATGCAGGATTAAAAAAAAAAAAAAAAAAAAAAACCCTTGGGAGAACTGGCAGCTATAACATGTTAACAATCTAGAAGCTGTTTAACAAGCTTTTCAAGTTTGATTAAATAGAGTTTTACTTAACACTACCTGGAGATAGGGATGAATTACGTAAACTATATAATTTGAACACTTTATTCTGGATTAAGGACATTATTTAGAATATTTTAAATTAGTATTTGAAAAAAAGTCATACAGTTCCTTAATGCACTAGTCCAGTGATTCTAGCCATGTACAAAAATCACATTTACTGCAATACTATGTTAACAGTAAAACAAATGAATGAAGATAATTTTGCAGTTAAAAATTTAAACAGACAATACCATTTTAAGGCAAAGAAAGAAAAGGATTCTGTAAATTTCACTTGCAGGTTGGAACTTTTTAATGTCAATGGCTGATACGTGGATTAATTAAAATAAAGGATACTATTTTTAAAAAAAAACCTGCAAGTTAATTTTATTAAAAACTGACTTGGCATTCATACAAATAAATACAGAATAATATCAAATGGACGAGCTGTGTCATTAAAATTAAAAATGAGACATTCTTTTTTTTTTTTTTTCTTCTGTGCAATGAATATAGTAACCATGTAAATAATTGTAATATTATACAAAAATCAAGTCTCCCTGGAACTGTGGCCAACTTGGTCACCTGACGTAACAAAACCGAACTTTTCCCTGAGAAAAACACTGAAGGAGAAGGTTATGGCTGATAATCCATATAATGCTGTAGGAGTTACTCTCTGCAATCTTAAATGATATCCCTCCCCAAAAAATACTATATACCCTGAGAAAAACCTTCACCAACAGAAGTGGATGCAACCAAGTTAGGAGGTCAGTGGAGACCAATTTCAACACCTTCTGTAGGAACGAATGCAATGAGTTAAATAATGATAGGGCACAGTAACTTTTTGGACCCCCAATATTTGTTCAGCCTCATAAAAAATGTGCAGAAAATGAAGTTCAAGAAATTCACCAATTCATGCGCAATATCCCAAAGTTTTGTATTAACTAATTCCTAGACCAACAATGTTAGATGAGATGACATTTTTTTTATACAGGTACAATGTTTAACTAAAAAGGATCACTCTAGACAATCAATTTTTACCATAGAAATTATTCATTTGGACCAAATACAGTTATTATAAAATGATTTATAATAACTGCATTTTATGTAAATTTTTTTAATACCCACTGGTGAATAAAATTTACATCATACGTTTTCAAGAACATTTTTTTTTTTTTTTAATTTCAGAAAACCACCATTAGCACAAAGCAGAGAAAGTATGCAAATTTATGTATCTAATTAGCATGCAATTTTCCTCGTGTTTTTATACAGTTTAGCTTTTCACTCTTCAAATGTTCATATTTAAATAATGAATATTTAATTATTAATCATATTAAAATTAAGATTCTTTTCAAAGAACTAGCATATCTAACTCATAAAACACATACTGGCACTCTTAATAAAATGAATTCTGTGCATTGTATACCAACCGAGTGTCTCTAAATGATCAGGCATCTCTAAACATAGCCCTATCTTTTCAACACAAATTTCAGTGACGGTTAAAAACCTAACATTTTCAGTGTAAAATTTAAATTATTCTTTGTTGCATGCCATTTATGACTTAAAAAACAAATCTGGCAAACTAACCCATTTTTCACAAATTTCAATCATTTGTTACAAGAGTTTCATAATTTGACATCCTGCTAAACATGTTTTTTGAAAATTCAATAGCTTCATATAGAAGCACTTTTGTCAGAAGTAAAGCATAAATGAAACAAACTGAAAGTAAATAAGAATTTGCTTTTTAAATACTGTTATTTATAGTATTTTTTTAAAAAAGCTTTTAAATGAATTAAATTCCTTTCTACATTAATAAAGTAAACATTAATTTTCCAAAAAAGATTTAAAATTCATAAAAAAATAGCTTATTTGAAGCTTCCACTTCTATCAACTCTGACCTTAAAGATACAATTAATTACATAAACCAAAACATAAGCTCCATTTTCTATATTAAAAATGTAACTCAGTTATATATCTTCAACAACAAGAAAGAAAATTAAGTCTTTTCTTTTTTACACTTTACAATTACACGTCAGCTACCTGCATTTTCAAGAACACAAAAAACCTTTAAAAGTTTCAATAATCATATGATAATACAAAATCACTTCACGGAAAAGTTATTAATAAACAAATATAATGTTTGCATTCAGTTTTATTTGAAATCATATACAAATAATGCAATATATATATATATATCACAGTAAATTACAACACAGCAAATTAGTTTTTACACAAATACTCCTATCTTAGTAACATATTAGAGCTTTTTAATAAAAATCTTACATACAAAATATACACATCGCTTTACTAAAATGCACTTTTTTGTTTCTAAGTTTAGTTATAAGAGATGGAAGAAAATGAACATGACAGCAAATAAACCATTATGCATTACATTTTTGATTGTACCTATTATCTGAATACAATCATTTAAAAAATTTAACTTATGTAGTGAAAAAAGGAACAATTCATAAAAATATGTATTTAAAGACATTATACATAAAAAATTTTTCAATTGATTCAAGGGTGGTAAAACTGAGACATAAATTATAATTAAAAAATTAAAAATAAAAATATACATAGACTGACCTTTGTAATAACCAAATCAAAAATGCATAATGGTATATTTAAAATAAATAATCAAAAATAATCTTTGTTAAAAACATATTGCAAAACTAAAAGCTTCATAAAATAACAATTATTTACATTATTTTCTTTGTAATATGTACACACAATAATATACAAAAAAGTAGTATCAAAATAAGGGAGATAAGTCAAACAGATCACACATTCCTTCAGTTTCATCTAAATTGAAGAAATAATCCCTGGCTCCAGGTGGAGGACTCAGTCTTAGGAAAGGAGAAAGAGCTGAAAAAATAATTATATATATATATAGAGAGAGAGATAAAACTTTTAAATTACATTTTTATGTGTCATTTTGTATGTTTAATATATGAGAGAGTTGATGAACAAAATGATAGGACATAGTGAAACCTAAAGGCTATGCCCTTGAGGGAAATAATTTTCTTTCTTATTTTAGACAGAGAATTGTATATATTACACAGAATGTTTATCTTCATTTGCTAATCCTCCAATGCTTTTCTATCGCCAAGCCTTTCTCTCTTTGAAGAGATATATGTAAGATAAAAATATGTAAAGGAAACTTCTAATTTAAATTGGCAAAACTATTATTAATTGATTAATCCTTTAATTTTCTTTTAATTTGGACAACATATCAATCTGCAGTTCATCATTTCAAAATTAATCCCCATCACGCTTTTTTACGTAACCCTGTATTGCAGGTATATTATATAGCCAATCAGATTCAAGATTTCAGCTGAATCTGAATCTGTTTGGACTCTTCTCTTCTATGCTTCTTTTGAATATGCAGTCACTTTTTGCTTCTGCTTTGCTCTTGCTAACATGCACCACTCCCTTCTCGGTAACGTTCATTGTCTGAAGATACACTAAGCAATAAAAAATATAAGGTGCATACTACGACCATTATGATGTGAATCAGATTATGCATCTTATGAGCTTTATCAATAATAATATATCAATATGCTAAACGTGGCTATGTCTAATGTGTGCAGTCTAACCTATGCAGAAAACACTTGCCATGTTATTACAATGCAACAAACTCTCCAATCCATTACAGTTATAGCCATGATATTACTTATATATATATATGTATATATATGTATTACAAAATTTAGTTAGATTGGACTTTTAAGTAATAACCTAGTGTGGCAGATCTCAACTTTTTGACTAACGCATACCATCTAAACAAAAAATTGGAAAATTTTAGTACCAACATATTTTTTAATGATTATTTTTCAATTTCTCAATAGAAATATTACAGAAAAATATATCTGGCCATTTGCACAACCTATTGGTTATATGTACAGTACAAGGGACTTCGGCGATTCCGGATTAAGGGTTTTTCCAGATTATAGATAATCAATTTAAATTTGGTAAGATGGAATGCAGAAATTATACAATTAAAAAATGAACCGTAATTATGAATAAAGAGCGTTATGATCTACAGGGTATCAAATTTAAAAAAAAAAAAAAAAAAAAAAAAAAAAAAAAAAAAACTTAACTTATATATATATATATATATATATATATATATATAACCGTTTGTGGCTTTAAGGTCTGGATTATAGATGTTCCCGGATAAGGATTCAGTTACAGACTTTGTACTGGATTAAATATGCAATCATAAAAAACATAAGCCTGAAAATTGGTAGTCATTTTAATTATCAAAATTTAAGTTATAATACTTTAAAATCTAAAATTTAGTGTGAAAAGTGGGCCGGTTTTCGAGAGATAATGTTTTCATTTTATTTTACTTAGTTTTTAACAATAAATTAGAATCTACTTTTAATTTTACTCTGTATTTATTTTTCAAATATACATGGAGGAAATCTTGTTCACACAAATAGTGTGAAAAGGAAAAAAAAAAAAAAAAAATAATAGCTTTATTTGAAACGCTTTTAAGATCTTTTTTTAGTTTCAGCCAAATGTTATTAAGTGTGTTATTTTGAAATCATCAGTAGGAAATTTCTATCAAGTGTTCTTTTTCTTTATGAGATTTTTTTTAATTTAACAATTAAAAGTACTTTGTTTCTTTGCATACCACTTATTTTTCTCTTGTGTACCACTGGTGGTACTTTGACAATCACTGATCAAGTGTTAATATAACTTGAATTTAGTTTATATTAATTAATTAATCAAAAAATTCACTTAACAAAATCCAAATAAATTTATTGGAAAAATAAAATGTAAAACGCAAGTGAAAAATTCTTTTGTACAGAAAAAAAGACAAATAACTATAGTAGTAGAAAGCTGTATTTTAGTAATTAAAAACAGCCTCAGATAATTAGTTAAATTTAAATAAATTACTGATGATTTTTTGTTTTAAATCGACTCCTCAGAGGGTGTTAAGGTCATACTATCATTCAGTAATTTAAAAATTCTGATACAGTTTCTGTCCTTCTCGATAACTTGAAAGTGCATTGATCAGTACAAATAATAAATAATTTGAATTAGCTTTGAAATAATAAAGAATTATACAGGTTATATACACAATTACATTGATTACAATCAATCATGTAATGAATTTTGTAAGGATTATATTAATTTTATTAACAGTTAAATTTTGAGTTAAAGTTCCTTTCCTATCAATTCTTAACTTCAACTAACTTACCACTTCCAGCCAGAACTTAGTTTTAGAATAACGTCTGAATACATAATGTATGTATGTATGTATGTGTGATTATGGCAAAGCCTCGAGGGCTATCTGTCTAAGGGGAGGGATGCCTTCGTGGAGGACTTTCTAAGGGAAACTGGCTCGTATAAACGTTACACATGGGGAAAACCACGAAAACGCCCATGCAGCCAGCCCGTTTGTGGGATTCGAACCTCGGACCGAACTACCAGTGTTCAGCGACCACTCGTGGGCCGAATACATAATGAGGAAGAGTGGTATTTAACCACGTCTTAGGGAGAGAGATACCAGGTATTCTGGCTGTACGCGTCTGCCTTTTTAGGCTACTCTCTCGTAAGCTATTATCACACTCGGCCGTACTTTAGGCCTTTATTAGCTTCGCGGTCTATTAATGTTAAACGGCCAACTCCGTTAGAATTTTGATAGCTTCGGATACACCTTTTTAATTTAACTAATGCTTAGTATCTTAAGTTCAAGCCAAAGTGTTGGCTTTATTGTACACTCCAAGCTGGAGTTTTGTTAATACTTAGTTGGAATAATAAAGTGTTAGTTACCCTTGTATCTTGTTGTTTCCTGTCACGCAAACTCAAGCGATTAGTCGCTTATCAGTTCTTAAGATTCTTCATTTCCAACAGTAACTTAGTAATTACAAAGTGAGGAACTCTACAATTTTTTTAAAATTCTGAATTTAAATTATCTTACAACAATTTATGCAGGTACTTTAACCAGAATTTGCCTGCTAAAAAACTTCATCCCTACTTTAGGGAAAATATTTCATGAAATAATAAAATTTGAAAATCTTAAATCCCCATTACACGAATCCTCAGGACTGTAGACTCATTAACCTTCTTTTTTGAACAAACATACAAAAAGACGCTTGTTCACAAAACTTAACTGGACAAAATTATTATTTATCAGTCGATTCCCCCCCTTTTAAGTTCTTAAATAGTATTATCTTGTATTAGCTGATAATAATAAAACGTTACCATAACAAGGTGAAATTTTTTGCTCTATGAATTGGAACTCAGCAATAAGCAATAATTTTATTTTTTAAACATTATATAATTTGAAAAAATGCATTATAACATGCATTCTAAACAATCAGTGAATTAATTTTTAAATAATACTACACACGTGAACCATTATAAATTATCAAAGAACAAAAGACATACATAATAATCATTTCTGTGACAAACTAGTGATAATGGCTTTTTCAGTACAAATATTTGCGATCAGAATAGCAAAGAAGACAATCACAAAAAAGTTCCATTAACAGTACATGGGGGTTCCTCGGTACACGTCCATTTGAAATATGTCCAACTTGGTATACATCCTGTCTGGATGCAAAATGTTAAGCATATGATATTTGTTTATAATACAAATCAAGCTCTATCGGTCATGGCTTGGCACACTACATTAGTTTACTTCCTTCGAGACAATGCTGCTCATTAGCATCAGTACACCTGTTACTACTTCAATAAATAAGTTGTCCTACAACTCCGATTTTTCAAGTGATTTTGTGTTTTTTCACATAAATGTTTTATTTCATTAATAATGAGTTCTAGAAAGTTAATAGGAAGAGCCAAGCAATGAAGAAAATTACTATGAATTATTACCATGGAAATGAAAAAAGAGGCCACTGAAAAGCATGAAAATGGCATGCAGATCCAGCCCTTAGCTGAGTACAATGGTAAAATACAAAGCCATTATTCTAAGTTAGCCCTTCACAAAGTTGGTCAATTTAATGCTAAAATCGTGAAAATTTACAGTAGACTAAAAACTCAAAATAAATAACGTGACACAATTACAAACATATCTTCAAACAATTTCATTAATGAAGCAAAAAATAGAAATTTTTCAAGTTATTAAAAATTAGTTTATGCTTCACTACATCGTTTAACAAAGTGATCTTTTTTTTTTCGGGGGGGGGGGGAATTTTAAAATTAAAAAAATAATAATAATTGCTGGAAAAGGAGATTTCAGTTCGGAAAATTACTACACTTATGTTTATCAAGACAGTTTGATGAAGATAATGGCTTTTCATTTAAAACTTCGAGTATCAGATTAGAACAGAAGTACCTAAAGTATGCACGTTAATAAATAGATACTGATGAACAGGATGAGAAGGAGAAAAAAAGTTTTGATAAAATATCCAGTTATTCAAAAAATAATCTCTAAAACAGAATCCAGGGTTCGTACACATTTCCTTACATGAAAATTAAGGACTTTTAAGGACCATCAAAGAAAAAATTAAGGACCTATCAGCAAACAAAAAAACGAATAGAATAAAGCAATTATCCTGCAATTATCCATACAACCGACTTCATGCTTGTAATTTCACTTTAAGAAACTAACAGAAGTGTGTATTATGCACTATTATTAAATTCACTTTAATACTTACATAAAACAATTTTGAAAATTAAAAACTAACTCCCTACAAGTTATGAAGTATATAACATGAATTAGGACATAATTTCTTTAAAAACATGTATAGTGTATTTTACACTAATACAGTCACTATTTTAGAGTTTTACATGATTATTATTTAACTTGTTTGATATTTATTTAAACAGTCAATTGCTATTTATAATCACAATGTAAGAATATTTTGCAGATTAAATAACTGATTTGTAAA